TAGGGACCCTGAGTGCCAGGGAGAAGGAAATGGGAGCAACTGGTACAGCAGACAGGACACCCCGTGGGTAGGTGGCTCCTGCTGGGATGACAGGGAGATGAGCGACTCTGGCACAAACTGCTCGCTCAATTGACTCCACGACATGTGGCTGCCGCTTCCAGAACCCTGCTCTTTATGACTGACACTTCTTGAACTGGTGATCTCCTGTTCTGGTGAATTATAAATGTCTTGCTTGCCAGTTAGATCTAGAAAAACTATCTTGATGTAGGATTTTTCGCTCATGCTTGTCAAGATTCATGGAGATTCTCTAGTTTGCTTTCTTCCTGCTCTGGTGCAATCTAAAAATATTATGATTAATGTTTGAGCTAGATTTAGGATGGGTGTAGTAGAACAGATACTATTTCCCAGCAGTAGTGTCCAAATGTTTTACAATTATGACATTAAAAAAATTCTACAATTTGAAAATGCGTGGGGGGGCCCACTGGGGTGGCACAGGGGTTACATACAGTCTCAGCCCTATCAAGCTAATGCCAGACCTCTGCTGACCCACCCGCTGCTCCCCTCAGCAGTGTCTTTCCGTCTGTTCTGCTCCCCACTCTCTATCTGGGGGAATGCTCTCACTCCCTTCACCACTGGCCCCATAGATGTGCATAAATCAATCTTTTTTTTTTTTTAAAAGGTCATCGACTGGGTAAGGGATTGTGGGGAAGGAAAGGTTTGTTTGCTGTGCATTCTGAACCTGTTGGAAGCAGGAAGTGATTAGGATTAATCATTTTCTTTCCTAGAGAGAAGCTTCTCTAGGATGCAGAATAGGCAAAATGCAGAATAGGTATAGAATTAACTTAAAATTCAATGCAACTATAACAAACCCTAGAAATATGACAGTAGAATTGAGACTACCAGAGTCAGTAGTCTTCAAGATAAGGGGGCCCGATGTACTATGGTGGAGAACTGTAGGCATCTTGACGGTGGGTGAAGAGATGTGATCTGAAAGGGTGCAATCCTATGTCTGGATCATATACAGCCTTGAAAGCCAGTATTATCTCAAGTTGAATGACCAGCTCACCTTCCAAGTTTTCTTATTGAACTAATTGCAGATTGCAAAGTTGAGGCCAAGACTGAGTAAAAGATTGTATTATTTTGTTTTCCACACCGCTGTGATGAAAATATTGGTGTGGTTTCTTTTCCTTTCCTGCACTTTTTTTCCTACTTCTCTCCTCCTAATGTTGGTCAGCTAAAGTTTTTGTTTTTTTAAAGATCTATTTATTTATGCATACAAGAGCTGGGTTATAGGCCAGATGTGGAGGGGCATGGGAGAGGATTCACCAGAGACAGAGTGGGGTGCAGAACACGCAGATCTACTGAAATACACTGCTAAGGGGAGCAGCCAGTGGGTCAGGAGAGGTCTGCTGTGCCACATGGGTCACCTCCCTGGCTGGGAATCAAACTCATGC